CCCCCGCGACCCAAGCTCCCAGCTTCTCCTTTTTTCTTCTGGAATTTATTTATCTTCTATAATTGAAACTTTGTAGCCTTGAGCGTAGCCCACGGCAGGGCAGGCGGGAAGCTTGGCTTCCTCCATCGCCGGGGGCAACCCAAGCCTCCTGCTCGCTTCAGATCTGTGGCCGCCGCCATCTTAGTTGGGTTAATTTGCATACTCGCTCCTGATTGGCTGGTGGGTGTGGCTTGAGCTTAGCAGAGGGATGGTTCATTTGCATGTTTCTCTTTTAGTATATAGGACTAGTAGCCCAATGCACGAAATTCATGCACGGTGGTGGGGGGGTGAGGGGTGGGGTCAGACCCCTCAGCCCGCCCTGCACCCTCTGTCATGTTCCAGGACCCTGGCCGCTCCCGGCCTAGGCACAGGCCTACAGGCTTGGGGTGGCCTGGCTCCCGAGGCCCCATTTTATCAAGAGAACAAAGTCGGAGTTAGTTACAGCCCTCACCAAAAACAGTACAAAGCATCTGTGCGTACAACTGCCTCGTTCATGTGCCTGCTTCACCCTACTGAATTACTAACATCCTGCTTCACGTTCAGTGTCTGGCCTGGTGCCAGGGACCAGAGAGGGTTTGCTGAGTGAGTGAATATTGAGTAAGTGAATGAGTGAATGAATGAGCAAGTGAATGAGCAAGCAGCTACGGGGCGGGAACTTCTGCCGCGTTGCTATGGCGACATGGCAGAAGTTCCCGCCCTGCTCCCGGACACCCGACGCCCACCCCGGGAAGTTCCCGCCCCGCTCCCAGTGGCCCGGCTCCCCTCTCCTGGCTGCATAGTTTCCACCCTGCTCCCAGCAGTGGCCCAGCACCCCTCTCCTGGCTGCTTAGTTCCTGCTCCCAGCAGTGGCCCGGCACCCCTCTCCCAGCTGCTTAGTTCCCGCCCTGCTCCCAGCGACCCAGGCCCCCAGCCACTCCTTCAGCAGAGGCCAGGGCAGGCGGGAAGCTTGGCTTCCTCCATCACGGGGGCAACCAAGCCTCCCGCTTGCTCCAGCTCCATGACTGCCGGCCGCCATCTTGGTTGGGTTAATTTGCATATAGTTGCTCTGATTGGCTGGTGGGCGTGGCTTGGGTGTGGCAAAGGTGCGATCAATTTGCATGTTTGTCTTTTATTAGACAGGATAGTTCATTTACTTCAGGTCAGGCTTATGATGTAACAACTTGTATTTTTCTTACTAATAAGTTGGGTTTATACTTATTTTGTTGAGTCTCTATAATTGATAAATATGCCAAATCATATACCTATTTTAGACTTCTATGTGTGGGATGTGTGTGTGTGTGTGTGTGTGTGTGTGTGTGTGTGTGTGTGTAGACGAAGAGTAGAAATATTAAAATATTACAGAGATATGTAGTTATAGTTTCAGGATTTATGACTGTTGTTGGCTATATAGTTAGCAAGATCCAACTATTTAGTTAGATCTTATATTTGGTAGCAACTCCTCTTTTAGCAGTGTAGCCCTGAGCGTAATTTTTTACGTGAAATAGAATAGTCTCCTTTAAATTCAGAAATGCTTACTCTGTGCCTTATTAGGTCAATAAGTAACCTCACATCTTATATATTAAGGTCAGAATTCAGAAAAATTGTTTTATTTCTTGGCTCTTCATATCTCATAAGGCTTTACTGAAAGAAGTTAGTAACACAGCTGACTGATGGAAAGAGATTTTTTTTCATTTTGTATAAAAATTCTATAAGGCTTATTTTTAAAGCCAAAAGCGATATAAGACATATCTTGAGATCTCTACAAATAGCTTTCTTTCAGGAACAGTATTTACAAATAAACAAAATTTAAGTCCTTCAACTATTGAGTAAACAAGATAATGATTAGAAGACAAAGCCATTTTGACTTGTAAATGTTCACTCACTAAATGTTAGTTTGCAGTGCCCTCAGTAAGTGTCGAGACAAAAATTATAAATTTATTATTCATGTCACGGATCCTCAGGATTGCTCTGGAATAGTAAAAAACATAAGTTTTAAATCTATGACTGCTGCTGTGGCCAGGTGTTCAGTTGATTGGAGCATTGGTACAAAGCAACCAATCTATCTCTCTCTCTCTCTCTCCTCCTCTCTCTCTAAAAATTAATAAAAACCTCCTCAGATGAGCATTTTTTAAAAATCTGTGACTACTAAGGTTCTTTTACTATCCCACAGTAAAAACTATATTGCGTAATATAGAAAAAATATAGAAAATGCATTTATTCATAGACTGTTTTGGTAAGTTTTTCTGCTATATACAAACGTAATTGCTATGTTGATATCAAGGATTTATAAAAGGTTAATTTACATGAAATTTTGCAAAATGCATATTGGTATTACAATCTACTTAAAACATTTGTTATATTTTTGTTTGCTTGCTTCTTTTGAATAGGTAACACTTTAACAAGGTACAAAATTCAAAAGATCTAAAAGCTATACCAACTCCCTCTTAAACCCAGGCGGCCATTTCACTTTCATAAGAATAGCTAAGGTTACTAGTTCTTATATATCCTTCCAGAGATACTTCAAAACTGTTTTGTACACTATACTTCGTTAATTTATGTATTTACACAAAAATGTCATTGGAGTCAAACTTAGTTTTTCTATTTCTCACCTTATTTTTAAAATTTTCAGAGCTACAGAGAAATAAGCACAAGGAAATGCAAGAATAGTACAAGGAACACCCACATATCCTTCACCTACTTTCATCAATTATTGACATTTTGCCCCATTTGCTTTCTCTTTTTCATGCTTAATATTTTTTATTGTTGACCCTATTACAGATGTCCCCTATTTTCCTCCCTTTTGCCCTTCCTCTACTCAGGTCTTCATCACATTATAGTCTGTGTCCATGGGCTATGTATATATGTTCTTTGGTTAATTATGTCCAGTCCACCTCATTCCCCTCCTCTTCACATGCTTAATTTTTAGCATATGTGTTTCATGCTAAGCTAATGTTTAAACAAAAAGAAAAAAGGATAAAACCTAGAAAATTGCTAAACTTTGAAGTCTTGTCTTCAGTATAATTAATGGAATTGAGTG